GGGGGACCCGGCGGGGAGGCAGGGCGCCTCGGCACGAGGGAGCGGGATCCCGGCCCCTGCGGATCCGCCGGAGCAGGCCCCGCACGTGGAGCCGGGCAGGGAAGGGGGGGGGGCACAGCCGGGGGCCGGGCTGGGAGGAGAAGGCGTCAGGCGTGGGGGAAACGATTTCGAGCAAACGAGCCGCTCCTTCGGGGCTAGGAAGGGAAGGGGGATTTTCGCCCCTGACTCCGGCCGCGTCTCGGGGCTTCAGGCCGAGTCGCTCCAGGGCTGCCTTGCCCCGCAGGAGGCTGCAGGGGTCCGGGGTGCCTCATCCTGCGCAGCTGAAGGGGCCCGATCCTCGTCCCCACGGAGGCCCTCGGGCCTGGGACCATCACTTCCTTCGAGGGCAGCGAGATCGGGCTCCTGCTGCTCTATCCCGGCTAAAATAATTAGCAAGGGGTGTGTGTGTGCGTGTCTTAGAAAGCAACAGGAGTAGCTACCGTGCCACACACTATCACCCCAGACCAGTTGCTTCCTATGTCTTTATGCCTCCTGCACTTTCACATTCGTGAGGCCGGAGGCAGAATAAATGCAGGGAGCAGAAGAGCAGCGAGGTCCTCGCGCCTGCAGCAAAAAACCCTCCCGGGGGTTTCAGTGCAGGGCTGTGCGGTGGCAGCACACGGCTCTGTTTGCAAACAATGCTGGCTTTCCAAACCCAGCAAATAATATCGCGGTTATTTATAGAGCTGCTGCTGCTGTTGTGTATATTAGGTCCCTGTTTATTTTAAAGCACCGGGTTTATAACTTCCGCTAAAAAATAAGGGAAGAAATAGCCCGAATGCTCAGCAACGACTTCGACCGTGTTTGTTTTTATTCGGGCAAAGCCATGTCACGCGGCTCACAGATAAACACGTTTTGGTTTATTTTCCTTCGGGTTTTTTTTTTTAATTATTATTTTTGGCTATCAAGCAACGAAGCTAGAGAAGATTTCGGGGGGGGGGGGGGGGGGGGTGTGAAAACTGGGCTTGCACACCCACGTGCGTTTTATCCGAAACTGATCGCGAGCTACCAACTAAATGAATCAATGAAGAGGCCAAGCGCATGTCGGAGTGTTTGTGGATTGCCCGTGTGCGGGCGTGTGTGCGCGAGGTGTGTGTAGGTGTGTATGGGCTCGTCTGTGCTTGTATATGATGTGTGTATATACAGACGTGTGTGTGTGAACAACGTATTTGTGTATATGTGTATGACAGGTATGTGTTTGTGCATTATGTGCTTGTGCTATGTATAGTATGTTTGTGTATTATATGTGTGCATATGCGTGTGTTTGTCAGATGTGTGTGTATCTGTGTGTACGTGTGCATTTGGTGTGTATGTGTATACGCGTGTGTATGGTGTGTTTGTATAGCATGGGTGTATGACAGCTGTTTGCATATATCTATAAGTGCGTGTGTATGACACATGCATGTTTGTGTATTGTGTGTGCACATGTGTATGACATGTATGTGAGTATGTGTATGTGCGTATGCATTATGTGTGTATGTGTATACGCATGTGTATGTGTTTGTGTATTATGTGTGTGTATGCATGTGCATATGACGTCTGTGTGCGTATATGTATATGCGTGTGTATGACATGCATATGTTTGGCATTACGTCTGTATGTGCGCGTGCATGACAGACGCATGTGTATATGCGTACGTGCGTGTGTATTTGTGTATTATGTGTGCATGTGTATGCACATACAGATGTGTTTGTGTACGATGTGTGTATGTACGTGTGTATGACAGCTGTCTGTGTTTGAGTATATGTATATGCATATGCATATATATGTATGCGTGTTTGACATGCGTTTGTGCATTATGTGTGTGTGTATGGCGGATGCATGTATCTGTTATATGTGTACGCACACATATGTATATGCACACACACCTGCTTGACTATACAGCTATATATGCGCGTGTGTATATGTGTGTGTATGCGTATACACGTGTGTGTGTGTGCGCGGATACACTCCTGGCCCTCCCCCCACTATTGCAGAGCCGCCCTCAGCCCGGCCTCCCGCTCCAGCAGGCGGTGGCGGGGCAGCCACAAGCAGGGCATAGGGCTCACCACACAAACTTGGTGGAGTAAACCCCTCTGCCACTGGGGAGACAGTGGTTTCTTGGGGACCCCCGCCGGCAACCCTCTCCCCCTTGCAGTCTCCCAGCCGCTTCTCTCCACTGGGCACCAGCCGCGGGGAGCGGTGCCCGCCAGGCCCCTGCCAGCCGGAGCCGCTCTGAGCCCCGTGCCTGCCCCGTGTCCTATGGAGCCTGGGAGCTGCTCTGAGGTGCCCTGCCGAGGCTGGCAGCGCGGCTCATCCTTCAGCGCTGAAGCATTTCGATGCGGAGATTATTAAAAAAAATGAAATGCATCGAATAAAAAGGGTCCCACCGCGCGCCCCCCTCCCCAGCCCCCAGCACAGCGCCCACGTGGCCGCTGGGGGCTTCCTGCCGCGGGGCAAGGGCGCCGGCCCCGGGCCCCCCGCGCCCCCCCCCCACCCTGCCACCCGCTCTCCACTGCGATAGCCGCGGGGGCACTTTGCGGAGGAAACCTCTGAGCCTGATAAATCACCCCCGAGAGACAGGAGAGCGTTCTCGCCCCCTCCCCAGTTTTCATATGGGGGGAATAAAATTACTAATTCACTCTGGTCTAATAAAACATCTCACATTTGCCCAAAGGTCCTTGTCTGCCTAATAAACTCCGAGGCCTTTTCATGCTCCCTCATCCGATCGCGGCACCTCTCTTTCCCCAGCGCCCCGAAACCCGGCTGCCTGGGCGCATTCAGCCGGGCCCCGCACCGCGGCTTGCAGGGCTGCGGCTCCACAGAAACGTACCGAGCAGTGCACGGAGGTTGCACGGGCTGCTTTTCTGCCCGGACTGCTCCCCTCTTTCGGGGAGATCCCCCACCGCCGCCAGCGCAAATGTCAGCCTTGGACATAGCTCTCCCTCCCTCCCTCCCTCCCTCTTTAAAGAAAAGAAATAGCCGAAACATTTTAAACCCAGCGAAATGGTATAGCTGGTGTCTGGATTCCTGCCTTCGCTCACGGGAAGTTACCTATTGTGCAGTGTAGACGGCGCGCACACTTACGCACTCACACACACACACACACACACGCGACAGACATATACACAAGACACACACAGACGCAGACAGACACAGACAGGCACAGACACACACTTCACACAGGCGCGCGCGCACACACACACACACACACACACATATACACACCCCACGCTTAATATTTCAATATTTCAGGGAGGAAAACGACGCCTCGTGCTCTGGCCGATCAAACTTCCCTTGATCATCACGGTGAAGCCGTCCACAAAGAAACTAGGGGGCAAATAAATGCCAGAGGGGCTGGCGATCTGACTGCCCGAAGGCGTTACGTTTTCTGAACACATCTTTATTTTATTGCATTTTATTTATTTATTTTTAAGACCAGGCTTCAGTGGCCATTCGAAAGAAAAAAAAATCATTGTTTGCAGGGAAAGACTACTTCGGGGCGTGCACATCATCTTCTCTCTCGCTTTTTGCTTCGGGACGGGCTGGCGTCCACCAGACAAACGGTGATCTCCGAAATGTCAGCTTTGGCCACAATCTGTATTAAAAAACCAAAACAAAACAAAACATCCCAGACAGAAAATAGAGTCCCCCCGTTCTTCTTGGTGCGGAGCGGTGCCCGGGGATGCTGGCTGTTCACACAACACCTTTATTCACCTTGTCCCATCTGCAGCCCAGGAGGCAAACAACGCCGTGCGGGCGCGGTCTCGGCTGCGGACCTGGAGTCTCA